AAATTGAGTTGTACATCAATGTAATATGTAAGATATCTTCCAGTTTGTCTTGGACAGGAGTGGCAAAGGAAGCCTTTCTGTGCTTGCTTTGTCACCATTATTTGCCAGCGTCATTTTTGGCGGATACAGGGGGTTATAAATTGCCGTTATTATTATTATTATTATTATGTCCTATGCAGAATTTACAATAACAAGAAACTGTTAAAATTCCGTGGTATCCTGTTTGGAACACAAAAAGGGGTGCTGTGAAATCATTGTTTAAATATAAGCACATACTGAAGAAGGCTTGTATAAAAGAATGGAATCCACTGAAGGCTAAAAATAAAGTTAGTAAACCACAATTTAAACTTGTTGCAAATTAGAAATTAAACAAGTCAGGTGTGATTACAAACACAAATGCCCGCAACCGTGACTGTTCCCATGACATAACACCACTCTTTTAACATCAACTTACACGTACCTTGGTCACATGGAACGTTCATTTACAGCATAGTGTCTTCTGTAGGTTTTATATGATTAATCCCCAATCCCTATGATCTCAGAATAAATACAAGATTTTTATTGTTTTAGCCACTGTGACCTTGACCCTTGACCTTTCGACCCCCAATGCGAAAGGCCTATTTGGATTACAAGAACGATCCACAAACCAAATTTGAAGTTCACATGTAAAGTATTTCTCAAGTTATCGCGCTGACAAAATTTCTTTTGTTTTAGCCACTGTGAACTTGACCCTTGACCTTTTGGCCCCAAATGCAATAGGCTTCTTCTGATTGCCAAGGATAATCCACAAACCAAATTTGAAGTTCATATGTAAAGTATATCTCAAGTTATCGCATGACAAAATTTCTATTGTTTCAGCCACTGTGACCTTGACCCTTGACCTTTCAGCCCCAAATGCAAAAGGGTTCTTAGGATTACCAAGAACAATACACAAACCAAATTTCAAGTTCATATGTAAAGTATTTCTCAAGTTATCGCGCTGACAAAATTTCTATTGTTTCAGCCACTGTGACCTTGACCCTTGACCTTTCAGCCCCAAATGCAAAAGGGTTCTTAGGATTACCAAGAACAATACACAAACCAAATTTCAAGTTCATATGTAAAGTATTTCTCAAGTTATCGCGCTGACAAAATTCTATTGTTTCAGCCACTGTGACCTTGACCCTTGACCTTTCAGCCCAAAATGCAAAAGGGTTCTTAGGATTACCAAGAACAATACACAAACCAAATTTCAAGTTCATATGTAAAGTATTTCTCAAGTTATCGCGCTGACAAAATTCTTTTGTTTAGTCACTGTGACCTTGACCCTTGACCTTCGGACCCAAATGCAAAAGGGTCTTAGGATTACCAAGAACATTACACAAACCAAATTTGAAGTTCATATGTTAAGTACTTCTCAAGTTATCACGCTGACAAAATTTCTTTTGTTTTAGTCACTGTGACCTTGACCCTTGACCTTTCGGCCCAAATGCAAAAGGGTTCTTAGGATTACCAAGAACATTACACAAACCAAATTTGAAGTTCATATGTAAAGTATTTCTCAAGTTATCGCGCTGACAAAATTCTTTTGTTTTAGTCACTGTGACCTGACCTTGACCTTTCGGCCCCAAAAGCAAAAGGGTTCTTAGGATTACCAAGAACAATACACAAACCAATTGAAGTTCATATGTTAAGTATTTCTCAAGTTATCGCGCTGACAAGATTTGTCCGGACACACACACACACCCACCCACCCACCCACCCACCAGACTTGTTTCACATACCTAGTGTGGACTTTCCTTCTTTTCGTGTAGTTAAGGAACACCAGTGGAAAAACTCATTTTTCTCAAACTGTGAAAACTCTTACACCCAATTTTTTTCAATGATTCCCTTAGTGTTCTCTTCATTCTGCTACAGATAAACCTACCCAAAAATGCCTCTTAAACCTGTTTCCAGAAATGGGGAAACACTGTGTGGACGGGGCAAGGTCCACACTTCGTCGCTGCTACCTACATATGTGGACGTCTTTTTGTTCGGAAGTCCACACTGCGTATGTAAGACAAGCTCACCCAACCACACACACACCCACACACCCACCCACGGAAGGACAAGGCGGAAACAGTAGCCCCTTCGGCTTCGCCGCGGGGCAAAAAAGTTAAAAAAGCTAAAATAAACTGATTTACCTGTTGCTCTAGAAAATACATCTCTGCCTTAGTCCTCTCTTCTGGACTAACTGGTATTCCATCAATGCACAGCAAGTTAGGTTGTCTCAACACAAGCAACGGACGATGCATCAACCTTCTGGATACCTGAAGATTGGTGAAAACATGTTAGTAATTTCATATACAAATAACGTGTACATATACTATAGGTTTCCCGGCCAATTTTGAATATTGGTCATTCGTTTTCGTCTGAATTTGAATGCACGTCTTTAACCCATTTCAATTCGACGAAAGTTCAATGATTTTCATTGTGCGTGCATTCGGTTTTGAGAAACAGACGGCCAATTACGTTACCAGTGCATTCATTTACGCAAGCATACCTTTTCTAAATTGATTTCAGGTACAGCTAATTTGATTCACGGTTAATGAAAAAGAAACCCCTGATTTTATCTGGTGCTGATAGATTGACGAATGTTTGAAATCGCCTCCTAAAAGCGAAATAGAAATCTTGTAAATGAATCATAATGGACATAAACGAAAGGTGCTGCTCAATCACTTAATTGATTGAACTGCAATGGAATCAAATGCTCTGGTAGAGAAAATGAAACACGTGTTCAGAGCGATTCTCAAATTCAGAAGAAAATGAAAGACCGATTTGCAAACGTGAATAAACATGTGGGAATTTGGCCAGGAAAACCTATAGTTCCACTCTGATAATCTGCCAAAAAGGCCAAACAAACAAGTTACACAATCATAATGCCACTAGATATTAAACAATGTGATGTTTTGGTAAGAAAAAAAAATAATATTAATATAAAAATACAGTCTTTTATTTTTTTTAACATTTAGTTTATTGGCTATTCGGCACAGTTGCGGAAACGACTTTGCTTTTGTTCTGATTTTTGGGGTTTTTTTTTTCTTTGTTTTAAATCTGAATTTTGTCCCTTCTGTTTTCTTTTCCATCCACAATTTTTTCCGGTACAACTTATGCAACTGGCACCCCTAACCCATAGGCGTAACTATTTGTTATCTTCTTTTGTTTTTAAGGTCTTACACGGCGTCACACTTTGTGAATCCATTAGAAACAACACTTTCATCAACCCTTGTCATCTTGACTCCCTCACATTCTGCCATCTTCCCACTCGTACAGATACACTACTTCACTCCCCTTCACGTCGATTCCTGAGGTTGTGGGACACTATTCCACCACACATCCGGGATGCTACTGCAATCTGTCCCTTCCGACATTTCTGCTCCAACTTAAAGACATCTGCTTAAATCCTGAATCATTGTTTACTTGAATCTACCCATATTGACCCAGGAGCATGCAATTATTCAGTCTTCCTCTCCCTGCCTGTTCGTGTCTTGTGGATTTTTTCTTCCAGTGTTCCTGTCTTACTATGTGTGGAATAACATGCTTCCGAGCAACTATAATTTAGTTTACTTTTGTTGTCCCTGACCCGCATAGTATTGTGTTTCTTTTGTGTGTTTTTACTTGCGTTTTTTTGGGGTGTCCCTTCAACTGCATGCTCTCCTCATACACTCATCCTCTAATTACTCATTATTCATGGATTTTAACTTAGTTCACTATATGCTCATCTAGTTGCCCTGCTGTTATCATCTTTGTTGTATATTGTACATGTATATAGCTTTTTTTGTCTGTATTTGTCTCGTTATTTTTGTATTTCTAGTTTTTGGATTTGTTCTGTATATGAATATATATATATATATATTTTGTCTGTTTTTGTTTTTTTTTTTTGAGGTCGAATAAATAATAATAATATTAAATAATAATCTTAAAAGTGCATATTTTAAAGCCCTATATATAGAGAACTGTTAGTCAGATTGGGTTGAAACTTGGTGTATATACAGTGCGTCCCAAAATACCCGCAACATTTTTTGCGAGGCTCTAGCGGTAAGTATTGGTTTGACTTTCAGAAGGTACTAAAATTATTTGTGTTCAAATAAAGGCATGTCCAAAAAAAAAAACTCATTCGATTTCAAGAAAAATCAATCATGTGCTTTTTTTTAATGTGGAAATGCTTCATGTTCATAATGTAATGATCTTGTTGCCTTTTACAGGGTGAGTCATTAAAATTATATTTCATATTTAAATATGTAGCACCAAAAATATAACGACTGGTAAGCCAATTCATAAGGTAATTTTAGATGAAAAAATGACTGAAATTGGTCAATCCGTTTACAATAAATATCACCATTTGAACACAATGACCCTAAAACCTGTCTCGTCAAAAAAATGCGATTTCAAGAATCGTCGCAATTGTTTTCAAACATCACCAGCGATAAAATCTCACTTTAAATGTTAAAAATATTAAAAAGGAAACCCTTTGAAGGCCCGTCCTTTAAACAAGATTTTATAAATCATATTGCTTGCCTAACCAGGGTTGTTAATAAGATATTGTGTACTACAGTTGGTGACAGTTGCTGAAACAAGTATTCTGTGTCATTTTCTTTGTTGTTCCAAACAGTCAAAACACACAATGAATTGCTTTTTTTTGGACGAGACAGGTTTTAGTGTCATTGTGTTTAAATGGTGATATTCTTTGGACGGTTTGAGTAATTTCAGTATTTTTTTCATCTAAAAGTAGCTTATGAAATTGGTTTTCCAGTCATTATTATTGGTACTACATATTTTTTTTAAATATGAAATATATTTTATTGGGTTTGGGTTCCCCTTTTTTTGACTCACCCTGTACTTTCTGTGTTTCCTTTTCTTTTCGATCAACGCAGACTTCACCTTAAATAAATTTACAATATTGCTCTTTGTTTCAAGTTCAATGAGTTGTTAATATAAATCATTTGGTTTTTTTTATGGACCTTGTTGACTTGAGTTTGCATCTGAAGTCCCTTATCATAAATTGATTTTGTCTTCAACATGTTTTATTTGAGCACGAATAATTTTAGAACTCTTTTAAATATCAAACCGATAATCGCCAGGGATAAAATTATTAAAGATTCCCAGCTTTAAAATGGTATAACAATAATGGCAGTACATGTTTCTGTGCCGACACTAGCGTCTCGCCAAAAAAGTTGCGGATATCTTGGGGCGTGTGATGTGTTATAGGTCAAAATTTTCATGATGACGCCATCATGTGATTTTACTTGCTTTTTTTTTTTTGATTTGAACCTTAAAGCCATATTAAATTCAAAATTCTTTTTGTGATAGATTTGTTAGGCAATCGATATTTGCCAGCGGCGGCGGAATGGTTTTTAAACTGGGGGGGCATCAACGAAAAGGGGCACTTGCTAAGTATTTTTTTTGGCACATCCATGCTGAAAGGTTGACACATTTTTGTCACCTGACACTAGTGGGGGGCGGGGGGGGGGGAGCTAGCTGGTACCATCTTTCAAAATAGGGGGCGCTTTTCAAAACCGGCAATATGCAGCGAACTACGCATTATGTGCCCATTTTCAGGGCGCATTGTGAAGCTTTTGGGGCATGGTTTTCATATTCCTCATTCATGTCAATATCTATACCATTTTGGGTAATGGTTACTTTAAACAAATGTCAGAAACTTTTAGGGCATTTTTTTTTTCCATCTCGAGGGCGCACATTCATGCTTGAGGGGAAACATTTATGTTGGCAAAAGGGGCACTTGGGTAAATCTGGGGGGGGGGGGGAGTGCCTCCCAGCCCCCCCGGTTCCGCCACCCCTGATATTTACACAAAAATGAGACAATATGTAATGTCATGATGACATCATAAAAAATGCAATGTGTAAAGACGTCATGATGACGTCATAAAAAAATGCAGTTATTAAAACACATATAATGGAATGTCCTATCATCAAGAAACTTGCTGGGAAGCTAGATGATATTAAATTTTAAAATCTGAATTTTTAAAGTTTTAATGTTTAATTTGTACTGAATTAGACACTCTCTTTGCTCAGATCGACTGCTCAACTTGCACAGGCTAAGACTACATTGTGAATGCATGCATTGACAAGTGCCATCAACATGACGTCCTCATTTGCTTGTGATGTTGTCATAAGGGTGCATTTTTTAAAGTCCTATATCTATATGTCAAGGTGTTAGATGGAAGTGGGGGTATGGTTGGTCCTATATCTATATGTCAAGGTGTTAGATGGAAGTGGGGTGTATGGGTTGGTCCTATATCTATATGTCAAGGTGTTAGATGGAAGTGGGGGTATGGGTTGGTCCTATATCTATATGTCAAGGTGTTAGATGGAAGTGGGGGTATGGGTTGGTCCTATATCTATATGTCAAGGTGTTAGATGGAAGTGGGGGTATGGGTTGGTCCTATATCTATATGTCAAGGTGTTAGATGGAAGTGGGGGTATGGGTTGGTCCTATATCTATATGTCAAGGTGTTAGATGGAAGTGGGGGTATGGGTTGGTCCTATATCTATATGTCAAGGTGTTAGATGGAAGTGGGGGTATGGGTTGGTCCTATATCTATATGTCAAGGTGTTAGATGGAAGTGGGGTATGGGTTGGTCCTATATCTATATGTCAAGGTGTTAGATGGAAGTGGGGGTATGGGTTGGTCCTATATCTATATGTCAAGGTGTTAGATGGAAGTGGGGGTATGGGTTGGTCCTATATCTATATGTCAAGGTGTTAGATGGAAGTGGGGGTATGGGTTGGTCCTATATCTATATGTCAAGGTGCTAGATGGAAGTGGGGGTATGGGTTGGTCCTATATCTATATGTCAAGGTGTTAGATGGAAGTGGGGGTATGGGTTGGTCCTATATCTATATGTCAAGGTGTTAGATGGAAGTGGGGGTATGGGTTGGTCCTATATCTATATGTCAAGGTGCTAGATGGAAGTGGGGGTATGGGTTGGTCCTATATCTATATGTCAAGGTGTTAGATGGAAGTGGGGGTATGGGTTAGGAATGTTGTTAATGGGGCTGTTTTTCATTTCATTTAGTGCATTTGTTTTGTTTTCTTTACTGTGCAATTTCTATTGTTGGTACTTATCTTCGTGCATCGCCTTTTGTAATGAGTGTATTTTTTTACATGTTTAACTGAATGTTTAATGATGTACAAAGGAAAGCAAATTTCATGTGGCACATGATGGATGAATAAATAAATTGAATTGAATTGAGTCAAGAGAACTAAAAGTGTGATTGCGTATAACCTTTGTCTGTTTATATATGGGGA